TTTAATAAAATAGATATGTTTGCAACAAGACCACAAACTTTTAAGAGGTTGGTAAGAGACATTCTTAAATGAATTTTTAAGTTCTTTTCTTTAGAATGGATGTCGAATTAGCATTGTAAATACAGTATTAATAAGATATTATGCATGTTAAGATAGTTGTATAAAGACTTTGATTACACATGGAATTGATCTTTTTGTGATCCTGTAGATTACAATTTGGTTGATTCCAGGGTATCTCAATACCGTAGGGTTCTACTATTGTCTTAACAATTGATATACAAAAATTTTATTGTTAAAAACCTTACTTTACTGTCTAGTGCCTATGGAACTATTGTCTACTTATTTATGTAACTTGAGTTTAATATATTTGCATACAGGCTCCAAGATTGAATTTCCTATATAAATTTTGTAACCATCGTGGCTGGATTTACAATAATTATTATCCAATTTGTAACCAATAGCTTATTTTAAAATTATAATTGTGAATCTGTTTGTGGTTCTGAAATAAATAAAAAAAAAAAAAAAAATAATTTATAATATTTTTCAGTATTATTAATGCAAAACAATTAATATATGCTGTTAATAAACACTTGTGGATAACGATCAGTTCAAAATAGAGACTTTAAAAATAATACTTGATTTTACTTGATAACAATTGACATTGACAAGGAGATTAGACTTAAAATCCAATCAATTATTCATTACAAACGCCTATGACAGTTAGAAATTTCTGCTGTTTATAATTATAATTTAAATTTCCTTTTGCGAGAGATAATTTATACCATTTGTATATCTCGCCATTCCAATTGCTATACTCGTGTAGCTACTTACAGCAAAATTTCAGAAACAAATTGTAAAACCGTTTCTGAGAATCTTGGTATTTGTTACATAAACATTGGCCTATTAGTTTATACAGAAAATTGTCTGGATTTCTGTAGAATCACTAATGATAAAAAAATAACAAGAGACAAAAGAACGTTTCGTTTTCTTATTAAATTTATTTTATGATCTTAATTATTTGAATATTGACTAATAGAAACTAATAGTATGGTTCTGTAAATCTAATTTTATATGTGTCACATTTGATAATTAGTAGTTGGCTGCACAACTAAATATATTATTGTTTTTGTCATTTTGAATCGCTCTGACACATGCGTCTGACAGATTGCGTATATCTTTTAAGTTTATATTTTACTAGCCTTCGCCAGCGGCTTCGCGCGCGTGGACCCTAGGGAAATGTTTAGTGGGATAAAAAGTATCCTATTATCTAAGTCAGCTAACACCCGATCTGTATACCAAATTTCATTAAAATCCGTTCAGTAGTTTCGGCGTGATTGACGTACAAACATCCAAACAAAGAAACTTTCACATTTATAATATTAATAGGATAATAGGATATGTTTTACTCGACTCTTATAATTACTAATATGTGGCATCATCATCATCAGTCTATTAGTGTCCCCACTGGTGGATGGAAGCGAAACAAATCGAATAGGGAGAATTACCCAACATGCGGGCCCAGTGCGGCATGGTGACGGTTAACGACTACAGATGCAGCCGCGACCGAGGCCTTATCGTGCCTTCCGAAACACGAAGTTCGACAAAATTTTTGGTCACCCATCCTATGGCTGGCCATTGCAAAAGTTCCGGTATTACAACCTGACCGCGTTAAACGCTGCGTCTTCAAGCAAGCAAAAAAAAAAAAAAAAAAAAAAAAAAAAAAAAAAAAAAAAAAAAAAAAAAAAAAAAAAAAGTTCCTGTGAGATCGAGAAACACGTTATGTTTCGATTGCATTAAAAAAGATTGGACTTAGTTACTCGGCATCTAGAAAAATATGCTCATCGCCAGCTAATATACAATAACAAGGATAAACTATATAACATTTATTGATATATCTGGAGTTTCACTCGAACGAATGTCGTCGTTAGCGCGACACGAAATCCCATCCAATATAATTAACACGCACGCACTACACGAAACAGTTAGCTCGCTTTGGCTGACATGAAGGATGATACAATTGATTTTCGTGATTCCTAAAAATAGATAAAGTTACACGATTTTATATTAGATACAACACTTTTGGTTCTTATGTATGATATTAGATATAACACTTTTGGTTAACTCCTAGTTCATCATCATAAGCCCTTTAAGGTCCCCACTGCAGGGGCTCAAGCCTTCCTGATGGATGACTAAGAAGGATGGGCCATGACTCTCCACGCTGATCCAATACGCATTGGAGGGTATTCACGACTGCAATTGCAGCCGGGACCGGAACGGCTTAATGTGCTTTCCGAAGCACGGAGTAGCTCGAGATAATAATTGTTGGTCACACATACTGTGACGTTCCCGTGCAAAAGTAACTTAAGAACAAACATCCACACCGCGGCGCTTATCTACTATGCCACCGAGCTACTCAATAATGTGGAATTTGAAATGCAAAATTTTTAATAATATAAAAAGAACAAATTTTAGTCTTCAAAAAAATATGACCAAAATCAAAGTTGAATCTATATGTGGCTGCAATGAAATGTAATGGTACTTAATATAATGTTGTATTACCACGTTCACATCAACAAATCACCCATCTAGTTGACAAGCTGTTCGCGACGTCTAATGATATATGGCGAAAGCAACCATAAGCAATCATCGCCTTAAATGATGAGTGGGGTTAGCGATCTTGCGGGGAATGTGAGGGATTAATTGGAGTGTAATGCTTAAGATATGACGACAGTTCTCGAGATACTTTTAACTTGAGACTAACTTTCCATCCACAGTTTTGCCCGTGTGCGTGTTCATATTATGGAGCCTTATGAATAAATAAATTATTTTATTATTATTATATTACTAGCTTTCGCCAGCGGCTTCGCCCGCGTGGATCCTAGGGAAATGTTAAGAGGGATAATTAGTATCCTATTATCTAAGTCAGCTAATACCGTATCTGTATACCAAATTTCATCAAAATCCGTTCAGTAGTTTCGGCGTGATTGACCGACAAATATCCAAACGAAGAAACTTTCACATTTATAATATTAAAATAATAGGACTTTAACTTTCTACTAACTTCTTAATATCATGGAACATTTGGGTCTGCGAAACCCACTTTAGAACTCCCATCCAAAACCTGACCTTTATGAAAGTCACTTAACCTCTATAATCCATCGAACTCCGCTTTAAATGATAAGGAAATTGACTAATGCCGTTGAGTCTTCATTGTTGCGTTAACGCTGAGGAATAGAGACCGGTGTCTTTATCGCCCGAGCTCATTTCCGGATCAATGTATTGAGCCATATTTGCTGCGTTATCTCGAGTAAGGGTTGTTTCCATGTGAAATATCACGTAATACAATTTTGTTACGTAGCGGTCGGAGCAATCATGTGATAAAAAGAATATTCTTTTTACTGACGACAACTTTACCAGCCTTTTATGGATATCTCTTTAATATTAAGACTGTGTTTTCTCAATATCCTTGTATTAACTATTAAATTTAAGTAAAAAGTATGGTTTATAATGACGGATTATACCACTATATCAAGTTCAGTAACTGTATCCAGAGTAATAAATATAAATACAATATAAATAACTTGAAAATAACTAAATTGAAAGTGGGTTGGATCAGTCTTACTAACCCAGCTCCACCAAGATACCCATCACTCCTCGAATCTTGCCTCATACCTCCATTATTGTCCGTGAATTGCCTAGATGTGCGATTCTTTGTCCTAATGTTTCTGCATTCCAATGGGTAACTTATTTATTTGGTCTTTGGTCGATAGAGATTCCTTGCTTTATTTGCAGACAGTATAACAGCTGCAATTGATTATTAACTTTAGTAGTAATTATCGTCTTCTTCCCACCTTCAGTGAGTCCCGATTAGCAATGAAATTAAGCCTTAAAGTTGCTCCAATCTCAATCAAAATATTTGAACAGAATTATAGTAACTGAAAGAAAGAAAGTCCGATTTATAGATTGTATCAGCTTATATAACCAACAAATAAGCTCAAGCAAGGTATATTACGAGAACTACCAACGTTTACCACTCTCCTACTTAACGAGCTACAAAAAAGCAATAAAAAAATAAAAACACTTCTCGCCACACCTTCACAACTTGATAACTTCATCAGGTCACGCGACACTAAATAATAAGTTGTGGAATTTCAATTCGAAAGTGCTTATTTTTATTGCAATGTTCGTTTTGAAACATAAATTCCATCAGTCACAATGTTTTGTGGGGGAAATTTATTCACATCTACTAATGGGCAGTCGACCTGTTCCTATTATGTTTCGGGCTTTTCGTAATACTACTTTATAAACTGACGATATTTCAATAATCTCGTTCCTCTTTACATTATATTTAAAGATATTCTAGATTGAAGAAGTATCTCGGCTTCAAAAGATGAATATTAAAGTGGTGATAAATAATGTTTCAAGTAAGATATTTGGGTATTTTCTCTTTCATTTTTAGTGAGTTTCTGTATTATCTCATTTCATATTTACTAAATCCATAAAATTTTTAAATGTTTAACAACCTGTAATTAGAAAAGCAAAAATATTTTGATTTATTGTACGCATAAAAGAATAGAATACAGTGTCTGTACCCTAACCACGCCGCAAAATAGAATCTCATCATCAACACCGTCCTACTAACGTTCCTTACTACTGGGGCACAGGCCTTCATACATGGAATCAAATCAAATAGGTACAATAGGCCCATTCTTGCTTTTTGATAAACGCATGCAGGTACACACGAATCAAATCGACTAAGCACAGTAGGCAGATCCACCAGCGGGTCCTGATTGGTGAGTTTTAACGCTTGCAGGTACACCCAAGACCAAAAGTTTGACAAGCTTTCTGAAGCACAGAGGACCATAAGATAATAAATGTTTGGTCACCCATCCAATGATCAATAGTTCGCAATAGTATGCCATTAAACTTTTCTATAGACTGTATTTCTTGAAACCTAGAGTGAAGCACTTTCTGCGCAACGTTGTTGTTTCATATAAGCCCACATTTTTGTTTTTTCGTAAAATACCAACGGAGTTCTATATATAAAAAAATAAAGCACTACAATATGTGTCAGATGACCAAGTATGAAATAAATAAAACTTAATAAATTACAAATTGTAACCATACAACAAAACCAAGAAAAACGTTAACAATGTTGAATAAAACAGATAAATCTCCCAAGCCTCCTCTGAAGTCAAGTACACTCAAAAAGAGTACGCAGCTTATGGTTCAATTGCCCGAAGGAGCTATATAGGAAATTATTATTCCTGTACATATTGTATCAAGTATAATTCTCAACATTTTCTATTCTATATTGTAAGACATTAAAATAAAAAACGATCTGTTTCATTGAGCAAAAGAGCAACCATTACAATGTTAATGAAATGGAATGAAAATATTTTCTTTTCAAATAAGCTTACTTATTATAGTTACAGAATAATTTAATTTATCCATATTTTTTATTTAACTTCCACCTCTTTTGGCTGACAAAAAGAATAAGCGTTATAATTTTACCAATTGTTAACAATTTATAACAGCAGTAACGAAATTTCCTTGTCACAACTGAAAAAAAGAAATAGTTTTTATTTTATTTGTATTAAGAATTATTTCGGAGATTTTAATGAAGGTTTTAGTAGGTATAATTCTATGACTGACCTTTTCGAAAGTAGAACAATACAATGGCAAACTTAATTTATAACGTTTTCAATGCCATCAAATCCCATAACCAAATTCAACGATCTATCAAATTTTCCCATTAATTTCATTTTACCGTTTTTAATAGCACAAAGGTTTTAATTGAGAAATATTAGAGATTATTTATAACTTTTTGTTCACAGGTCAGCCAAGGGTGGATCCTGGGACCGGAACTATGTGATATGTGGACTTCCAGCGACGTTCTATGCAGCTCCGCTTCCATCCTACATCTTGTTGCTATTGCCACTGATAGGTAATCTTTTACTGCAAATTCAGTATTTTTTGTACTTTTCTCGGCTTTGCACGTTAAATTTAAAAGTCAGTGAGCATTAACGTTCAAATTCGACTATGCAAAACATCTAAATCGGCAATCAATACCACAGAATATATATAATACCTTTAGTAAGAAAAACTTTTTTTTTATCTAATGAATTTAGAAGTAAGCCCAATAGTAGATAGGCTATTCTCACAAATTCTAAAGTAATTGGGAGTATAATATACTCTCGGGAATACAGGCGTAGGCAGGAATCCATTTCTTGATTGAATGTTTTTCATCAAAAGAATTCAAATAAAAACAATATACGAGTATCTACAAAAATCTAATAGACTTTTATTTTTTACAGATACTGGGCCGTTACAGACGTAGACTACATCCATATAAGAAACGAGAGGCGAATCTTCACTATGATCTTCCTCGTGTGGGGAGCAGCACTAGTAGTATCCCTGGCACCACAATTAGGTTGGAAGGACCCTGACTACCTCGCCCGTATTACACAGCAGCAGAAGTGCCTCGTTAGCCAAGATCTCGCTTATCAGATCTTCGCTACTTGTTCCACTTTCTACGTCCCCCTCGCTGTTATACTCATCCTTTATTGGAAGATCTTCCAAACTGCTCGCAGACGCATTCGAAGAAGAAGAGAGCCACCACCACCTCGACCAACATCAGCAGACGGCGCTGCGCCATTAGGTCGACCCGTTCAATCAGCGAGAGATAGGAGATTTGTCAAAAAACGATTCTTAAACCTCAAAAAGTGCAATCAACGAACTAGAGCCGAAACGTTGGCGGCTGCTCTTTTATTGACCGAAGGACAGAGCACTTCTACCGTTGATACGCTAGATGAAGAACCTCGGACAACTGCTTTCACTATCAACGAAAAAGGCCCAACAACGGTTTCACCAGAAAAGTCTTCCTCGACCGTTACGAATGGTTCAAAACAGGAAAGGGCTATAGTTCCAGCTCCCACGCATAGGGAGAAAAAAGAGTCTTTAGAAGCGAAAAGAGAGAGGAAAGCAGCAAAGACGCTAGCAATTATCACAGGAGCGTTCGTCTTTTGCTGGCTGCCATTTTTCATTATGGCATTGGTTATGCCGATTTGTCAGACGTGTGTCATCAGCGATTACCTAGCAAGTTTCTTTCTATGGCTCGGCTACTTCAACTCTACGCTCAACCCAGTAATATACACTATATTCAGTCCTGATTTCCGTCAGGCCTTTGCTCGAATCCTCTTCGGAACCCATCGACGTGGTCGAAATAAAAAATTCTAACGAAAATGTCCCTACTATGTATATAATTGAGCCGAAACTGTGCTCGAATGGACTATGTTATTATTCCTCCTACTTGTATTATATTTCGAAGCTTTCTGTATGTTATACATACTTAACGTTAGTAGTGAGTGTAAATACGTTTAGACGAAGATTTGTAAATAATATATAAAGATATATTATACATATGAATATAATAGATGACGTTGAGAATTGTTTTTTTACGCGTTATAGTCTATGCAGCCGCGTTGGGGTCGCTCGCGAGTCCAGGGCGACCCCGCCGCCAGCTCTTATGTTGTTTCAAGTGACATTACGAAATAAATATTTAAATTACATCACATAACACTTTTTTATTTACCTTTCATGAATGACCAATAGAGTTGATGATTATTTAGCAATCTATTTGCTATTAATCTTTAATCTTTGGTGTAAAATTGAAATGCAGCAAGAGTATGGTCAGTGGTTGGGCCTGCTATCGAGGTTAACCAATATTCGCAAAAGATAAAGAAGAAGAGTATACCTAAAATAGAATATAAAATCACTTTCTAAATAATGATGTATAGAATTTTGTTAAAATTAAAAATACGACAAACAAGCCGATCACGAATTTCCTTGTCAGATAATGAATAATTTGGGATGGAATTTTAATATTCCAGATTCTCACCCGTCTTTGCTAGAGAAGAAACTTTAACACTCGTTATCTATAGTCGAATAAAAGCAATTAATTAAGTAAAAGTAATAACTTCAGCAAATATTTGTAACAAATAAACAAGAATTCGAATGAAGTGAGATCTCTCAAAGTTACTCTTAGATATTATTATTGACTTATTATTATTATTGACAGTTCTTACTTTATTCAAAAACTCGACTATAAATACGTTAACCATTCAAATATCATCTCTAAATAAATGAAGTTAACGTTGTCAATAAATTCTCTATAATATTCCAATTCTATTTTAAAAATTCCTTTGAGACGTTTATGTTTATCATGGACAAGGGCCACCCTTGTAGCGTAATGGATCCAGTGAGCATGAAGTATCGCTTTAATTCCAATATCTGAACTCCTTGTTTACGAATTGTTCAATGTGTCGGACTAAATTTTTCACTGGCAGTTCTTTTGTTTTGTTACATTTTGTATCTGGGATTATGGAATATTCTAAACGAGAGATTCGATATTTGAATAAACTTTTGAATATCAAAGCTAACATTATTAATGTTTCCTTACACTAAATAAATCAAAAGGCTGAGTAATAATAACATCTCAACAACTTAATATTGAAAAAAATACTTATTAAATATTTAAAAAAGTAACCAACAGGTTAGTTATTGAAAAGTGGACTGTATTAAATCTAATGTGATATTATATTTAATCAATTTTACATTCAGAATGCTATACTGAAATATTCTTAATGAAAAATGTTTAAAAAAATCCACTTCCCCGACACTCTGAGATGGAATTCAAACCTATGACCTTTCGCAACCCGAGCGAATGCTCTGTCGAACCCCGCAAGCACTTGTTACTTTTCGCTACTGCAGAGTATGTTTTCATCAATGTTCAGACAATCCACCCAAACAGCCGAAACAAATAACGTGTTATTGATTAGATTAATTGACAATTACTAACCTACTAATATTTTACGCCTTTAAGGCAGATCATGGTTTAACTATTCAGTCCTTGTATCCAATATCTTTATATAACCTCTAATCAACAATAAAGATTGATTTGATTTGAAATATCTAAACATTAATACGTGCAAAAACTTTGACCCCTTTTTACGAAAATTGCGAGGACGGAGGAGTATGAATTCTGGCACACTTATAGTTTATATATATGAGAATTGCAAACGGCTAATATATTTCAATAAAAATGCTTATAAAGTACATTAAATCGATAAATAAAACATTACACACACTACTATGCATTTGATACACACAAACAAGTATTTGCTACACGCATACATGTACTCTGTGGTCAAATTGTTTCTTTTGACATAGAGTTTGTTTGTTTCTTTTAAATATTGGCTTCGCACGGTTTGTGCATTTAGTCAGTGTCAAGTTAGTTGCAACCTTGCCGGAAAAATATGAGCTGGTTACAGACTACGTTCAGCAATTAAATCTAAATAGGTAGGTAGAGCCCCAACAATAATTATATTACAATTTGCAGATTTGATTGGTCTAATAATGCTATCCATCGATTGAAGAAAAGAGTTTATGCATAGAATAGATGGAGACTTGTAAATGGCCAAATTAAACATGTTAGGCTCTATCTTTACAAGTAAGAAGTTTGCGCCTTCCAATTCGGGCTCAACTACAGAACAAAGCAAATTGTCCTTTACGTAGATTAAGATACCACCAATCTGGTTGTAACATTTGTGACAAAAATAGGTATTATACACATATATATCAGGAATAGTTTCATTATTATCAACTAGCCAGCACTAATTCAAAATCAATATATCAATTTCAAAATTATTTTTTGAATATACTATGGATATTTTAGGTGGCCACCCTAAGTCTCCTATTAGTATTGTAAATAGATAAAGTAAATAAAATATAATAATCAATATGAATTCAGTACAATATATGTCAGCATTGTCATAAAGAAGTAATATGAATGGTGTATTTCTATATTTTTTGTTTTGTAAATAGGAAAATGTGTTTAAATGTTTATGCATGAGTATGAGTTTATATTGCGGTAAGTGAATGTGTGTCTATGTATATGTATGTATGATGTATATATTTTTTCCAAAATTAAATTCTTCTGATATAATAAGAACACATTTTCCTATTTAATACAAAACAAAAAATATAGAAATACACCATTCATATTACTTCTTATGTTACAAAATGTTGTTGTTTCACAATATAGGAAGACACTATTTTGTTACATATAAATAAAAGCACATATACAAAATTTTTTAAAGTGATAAAAATCAAGGTACATTTCTTCACTTTCAATTCGCTCAAATCCGCTTTACAACTGATCAAGAAATACGATTTGCCGTCGTTTTTGCGCATAAATACTTTTCCATTCGATATCCAACAATACTTAAAACCGTTATCTTCAGCAAAATTATGAGCCATATAATATATACGCCGTGTTTTAGGTGTTAATCTTTCCCCTATGTAAACTAGTTGACTGGTTATAAAATAATGTAAAAGCAGCACCTTCCATATTGAATTGCGTTGTACTCAGTCTGTTTTGTTAATTTTTTAAGTTAAACTCGGTAGTTTAAATTAAAAAATAAATAAAAGGGACGGTTCCCTTCCTTGAAATATCTTCCCTTTTCTTTACATTGACAAGGTCGACTGTGATTGGTGATGTCCCATCCTTTTTTCCGATACGATATATGTCCTTAATGTCATGACGTTTTATCGGTGATTCGATAACACTTGCCGGCATAGTCACATATTTAAACAAATCTTCACTGGATTCACCTGGCTTTCGAGGAACGTTACGTATATCTTTGATTGGAGTAATGCGCGATCGAAGTTATCGATTTTTTTCTCCAGGCGTTGAATATTGGTATGGTTCTCTTTACACTCAAATTCCAAGTTTTCAATTATTGTTATCATACCGTTTGAATATAAAGATGTAGATTCTTGAATTTCGATATTTTGCATTAATATGTAATGTAAATGTAAAGTTTAAGTTAGTTTTTAATATTTTTCGTCATTATTTTATTCTTACATGGAAAACTAAAGACGGTTAACAAATGAACAGACTGTTTTAAGTCAAGCAGAGTGTTTAAGCTCCATTATAAAGTTTATTAATGTCTTACTAACCACAGAACTTCAATAAATTTTTGTTTTGGAATTATGTAAACCTTATACTATACATGAATTAGTGTTCCCTATCCAACTTCTTTGATAATAAGCTAGTCCTGCTCTCACACATAAAATTAAAAAAGAAAACACACAACATTTTTTTACCTACAATTTTCAGGAAAAATATTTCTTTCGGCTGTTTAGGTGGATTGCCTGAACATAGATGAAAATACGCTCTGTGATAGCGAAAAAATAACAAGTGCTTGAAAAATTCGCCAGTCCTGGGTAGCTCAGTGGTTAGAGCAGTCGCCCGAATGCGATAGGTCGTGGGTTCGAGTCACATCTACGAGAGCCCGGGACAAAGTGAATTTTAAAGCATTTTTCATGAGGAATATTATTCAATATAAAAAGAACATATCAAAAATAATAAAAGTCTATGATTCTTACTTAATATTTACTCACATGCACAATTAACTGCCCATCTTCTATTCGCAGGAACCGCCGATATATTACGAAATGAATGTTAAAAACTATATTTTATATTATAATTTTTTGTTTTATAAATAACAAATAAAAAAAATAGTTAAATATTTTAGTGGGCATTGATGTCTTGAATATCCGATTGGGGGATATTGTGCTACTCCTCTACTGCAGCCGTTTTTAGCTCTCTTATAGTCGTAGGGACTGGTACTCTCGCTCGTCTCGAGATCTCATCTCGTACCGAGGTGCATAGAATGTGCGAGCGATGCGACGCTGGTTATACTCTGCATCAGCTAAAGCCACTGCCCTAGCTACATCAGATGTAACGAGTGGCATTTTTTGCAATCATAAACAAAGAGCAACATTATAATTTCAAATTAAATAATATTCGCCCACTATGATAGAAAAAACAAGAAATGTTAACTCGGTAACACAACAGCAACAATGTAAAACAACGACTAAAAATATAAATTCCTAAAACTCTTCGGTGACATAAATTTAGGAAGAAAATAATGGTATAAGTATTTCATTTATTGTTAAAGAACCCACTTACCAGAAAACAAAACAATTGATAAGCCATAGTTGACGGAACCAAACAGGGTAATAAATGATACAGGAGGCCGGTTAATTATACCTGTAAGTGTATTGAATCCTGGTTACGTAAGTTTTATTCGCTAGATCGGTTCCGTTTTTATATGATTGCCTATTTCGAAACTTTGTAATTCATTAATTAAATAATGCCGCAAGACCTTTAACCACAACTCGGCACCTTAACACGCTCCGTAGACCTAATCAATCAATTCAGGGTTTCCACTTAATTTATTCAAGTTAACTTACTTTAATGTATTCCACTGACGGTGTAAGTTGCTAAAGTTTCATAATTCGTTACGTGATATTAACATACGCGTATGATACTTTCTCGTTTAATTCCCTGAAGTCGTGTCGTGTCGTTGAATCCGTTCACTCAATTAATTCATATAAAGCTTTAACAGTATCCCTATAAACTTCTCCTTGTCGCATATAATATTCCCAAAAGGACTAACACTATATATCCTATACCTAAATCAATTATACATACCTGTCGGCCTATCATGAGCGTTCTTATAAACACTCGATACGAGACACTGTTACTATCTCACTCATATTTGACAGGCGTATATGAGACAGCATTACGAGCTTTATTTTATCGCATATCACGTGATACTGCGTTCGTACTAAGGGGAATATCCTTAGACCTAAAACATCACTTATTAGAATTTTATTAAAATCGGTTTAGAAGTTTTTAGCTAAATATGGTTTTTTACAGTGTAACAGTCTTAGCTAAT